GCTTTGGGGGGGAAAAAAAAAAGAGGAGGATTGGCAATAGGTGTTAGCTCAGAGCCGGTCTTCCTCAGCAAAAAGAGGAGGATTAGCATGGATGTTAGCTCAGGGCTGATCTTCCTTACAAAAAAAAAAAAAGTGGAAATGGTTTATACATGCTACCAGGGAAATGCAGGGAGGAGATAACATATGAGCAGGGAGCCTCTCTTCCCCTAGGACTGACTTTGGAACTGCATGAGGAGCTGCTGGATTCTATCATCACTTGGACAGTGTCCTATAAACAGCTCTCAGCTGACCTACAAAGAGCTGCTTGGTTTATGGATGGCAGTTCCAAGGTGAACAGACAACATCTTCTTTGGAAGGCACTGCTCTGACCAAAGGAAGTAAAAACAGATCAGCTAAGTGAAGTGAATTGCATGCAGTTTTCCAAGCAGTGATGGAAGAATTGAACCATGATAAAAGCCCCTATGGTTTGGTTTTTACCAACTCATGGGCAGTGGTCAACTGCCTGGCCATATGGTCAGGCAGAGGGCAATGGAAACCTGTTCCATTAAAGGAATGTACATATAGGGCACAGTCCTATGGAAATCACTGTGGGAATTTGAGAGATGCATAAAGTAGGACATGCTGATGCCCAGAACCGCCTTCCAGGTTTGGAAGGAGATTGGAATTGATAAGTGGATAACCTGCTATCCTCCTTGATGTGGCCACCTGAGTCTATGAAATAAGTGGACATTGGGGGCTGCAACAATGCGGATGGTCTGAATCTAGACATATTCCTCTTGCATCCTCTGAGGCACAAAACACTAAAAAGAACTGTTCTGTCTGCCAACCAAAGACTGCAGTGGCTATGTGGCAGATTCCTTAGTGGGAAGGCCTTGAACATAGCTGGCAAATCAGACTGATGCTGGTGGCCCAGGGGGGCTACAAATGGGTCTTGACAGGAGTAGATATTGACTCTGGATTGGGCTTTCCTTACCCAGTGGTAGATGCAAATGCTCAGAGTGCTATAAAAGAACCAGAACAGAAGATATCGCACCAATTTGGACTGCTGAGTCACATTTCCTCAGACTAAAGAACATACTTTACAGCCCATACTGTCCAACAACGGGCAGAGAGAGATCCTCCTCAGAGGAATAGTTTGATAGAGAATTGCAATGGGCAATTGGAACACTGGTTATGTAAAATGGAGTGGGAGGATAGAGAGGCATGAAGGGCTGGCTTACACACCTTCATGAGTGTGTGCTCACACTCAAGTGGGGCTACATTCATGGAGACACTTCTGTCTCCACTAGAGTGTTTCCTCTCTTTCTCCTGGAGGACCTGGGGAGGAGGGGTGGAGGAGGTTGTTGGTATGACTCTACAATTCTTCCCAAGTGGGGAGGAAGTTGGTATGACTATATTTCACCTCAACTTTCTTTCTTCCAACTTGATGCAGTGGTCTCAGGACAGGGATGCAACTACAAGTGCCAGAATCAAGCATGATTCCTAAGCAAGAAACTGTAACTGTATTTTTAAACCTTTCTGTGAGAATTCCTAAGGGCCTGAAGGCGCGGGTTGGGCCTTCACCCCATCTGACAGTGAATGCAGCTATACTGCCTAGTGGTCAGTTAGCCCACTAGTTCTGCACCTATGTGACCCTCCCCTCTGTGAATGGGAGTGGACTGAGGGGGAGGCACTGCTAGACTAGTATTGCTCCCTGCAGTCTAGACCAGCACAGCAGCCAAACCTAATATCCCTTCAAAAAGTGGAAAAGTTTGGTATAAATGCAGGGATGGAGAGACACTGCCTGAGAGTAAAGGAATGAATAAATGGTTTATGTAATGAGAGAAACCCAATATTACATTAGCACCTCAAAAGAGGTCTGAGTAAGAGATGATATTGTCTCTTAGCTCAATTATCCAAATGCCTGAAATGATGAAGCCATATATTGCTGAGACCATTTCTGCTTCTGGAACCTGACAAGACCCAATGGAAGTGTAGGGGAGGAAGACAAATCTTCTACCCTCTAGGTCCTTCTGGCTGGGGTACGAGTTAAATTGACATGAGAATAACAGGAGAAAATCAAACAAAGCTTTATAACATGTATACATGGGAGAGACTCAGGAAAACTGAGCAACTCACCAAAATGGTGGAGGCTCACATCTTAAATACCATCTTCAGCTAAAGACAAAGGAGGATGTTGGGGGTGAGAGAAGTCAGTTATGGGAGATTACTAGAAAAGCAGAGTAAACAAGAGTAAGGTTATTATGCAGATTTAAGTCCTTGCCTTCAGCATTGATAAGAGTTTCTAGAGATAAGATGATGCCCTCCTTCTTCCTGGTACAGAGAGGGAGATACATTTACAGATGGAGATTTCCCTTAGAAATGTAAACGTCTCTTACAAAGGGTAAATTCTACTTTTCAGAGCTTCTCCCATGTCTGCAGTTTTTAAAAGTAACCAGCCCAAAATAATCCTCATGCCAAAGAGACACATTTTGGTGTGGCCAATTCTGATCCCCCACAGCTGCCTGCAAACCTGAGTGACCCTGCCCTGGGAGGCATTCACATAAAATAGGATGATGGACTGGACTAATTGTTCATGACTGAATGAGACTCCAGGAATGTATCAGCATCTTTTAACTGTTATGATCCTTTCCCTGCAAGAGCTCTGTGGTCAAAGACCAGAGGCTGGCCTGTGGTATTAAATATTTAGTCTTTGTCCCTGGTTCCTGGCATAGAGCTCCTAAAACCCTTGGAATCTCCTGAATGAATGATAAGAGTGACTTTGGTATGCTAATGAAATGGCCAAGGAGTCCTAGATAGCTTCACGATGGGGGCTGGTCACCAGAAGGACCCCAGTGATGAGGACTGAGCACCAGCATTGCTGTGGTGTTTCTTACAAAACACTCAGGCCTATCCCAGACCCACCATCTTGGAGTATCAGGCCCAAGACCAAGGAATCACTTATTTAACAAGCCCTACACATGAAGCTGATGCTCAGCTTTGGGAATCCTGGTCTACATTCTTGCTACTAAATGTGTGATCTGAAGACCAGCAGCATCAGCACCAACCTTGTTATAAATACAGACTTTCATGCTCTATTCCAGTCTCTCTGAGTCTTAACAAGACGTCCAGGGAATTCCTGTGCACAGGAAAGTTTGGGACTCCCTGATCTCTGTGCCTTCTAGACATGGAGGCAGAACTGTGCGGTCTGCCCTGATCAGATCCCTTAGCGCTGGAAGTTCAGTGTTCAGTCCTTGCTCCTTTCTCTTCTATAGCTATCACTCCTTTGGTGACCTCATCTGTTCTCAAGGCTTTAAATATCATCTATATGGTGTCACCTCCCAAATCTATTTCTCCAGCCCAGACATTTCTCCTAATCTCCCAACTCATTTGTCCAACTGCCAATCTGGTATCTCACTTGCATTTCTAATAGACATCTCAGATTCAACATCTCTTCAACTGAATGCCTGTAAACATGCTCCTTCCAGAGTCTTTCCCACCTCTGCTGACAGCAACTCCATATTTCTACTTGCACACTCCAAAATCCTCCTTGACTCCTCTCATTCCTCAGATTAATCCTGATAAATAAATGACAAGAAATAGCATATAATGGAGTATATGAGGAAGCCACTTAGTATAAAACTAATTCGGCCTGAACTTGTTTTTCCAAAAAGGCCTGAACTGGCCATTGAGCACGCATTATATATCTGCTTTAAGTATTTACTATGTCCCAAAGACAAGAACAATGCCCTTAAAGATAAGGATGGAACTTCCCCCACATCAGCATTTCCTTTAGGATAAGCATCTCTCCCTAAACTAAGGATTGACTGCTGACCTGCCTCACTCACCTTATGCCCCCCCACCTTGTGATCACCAACCTGCTGTATTCACCTGATTGTTGTGCCTGCAAAGCAATCTCTTGACTGTTGTAAAAGGGACATTCCAATCATATGCGATACACACTCTTTGACGGTATATAACCACGCGGTACACCCCACTTCTTTGGCGCCCTTCCTTCCTTGGGGAAGGAAGGCCCTGGGCTATGTGGTCCTCAAATTTGGCTCATAATAAACTCACCCCAATTTTGATTTATAGATTGGTTACGGATTATTTGCGTCAACAAACCATGAGGAAATGTTGCAAAGTCCATCTTCAGAATGTATCCAGAATCCAATCACTTCCCACTATTTCCACTGCTCACACCAGTGGAAGCCATGGACACCTCCAGCCTGGAATACTTGCACTAGTTTCCTTCTATTCCCTAGGGCCTCCCTTGCCCTTTGCCTCCCAATTCTTCTCTCAGCACAGCAGCCACAGTGATCATTTTAAAGGATAAGTCATATCACGTCCCTCTCCTGCTCTAAACTGTCTTATAACTCATCTCACTCAGAGCAAAGTCAAAAACCCTTCTAATATCCTCCAGGCCTACATGGTCTGGCGGCACCTCTACCCCATCTCAATTACTCTCTGCTCCAGCCATACTGGCCTCCTTGCTCTTCCCAAAACACACAGACACACTCCTGCCCTAACACATTTGCACTGGGGGTCCCCCTGCCTGGAAAGAACTTCCCCCAGACAATCTCCTGAAGAATTCCTCATGTCCTTCACATCTTTCCTGAAAGGTCACCTTCCCAGTGAGGCCCACATTAACCACCCAAATTAGAAGAGCCATCTTCCCTGTCTCCACACCCACCCTCTGGATCACCTTCCCCACTGCATTTTTTCCATAGCACTTACCACCTTCTAACATAAACACTTTCCCTATTCACTATGCTTATAGCATATAGTCTGTCTCTTCCCACTACAATATATCTTCCACAAGGCCAGCAACTTCTGTCTGTTTTCACATCAATGATGTTTTCCAGATGCAAAAATATCATATCATATATCTGGTATACAACCAATATCAGGTGAATGAATGATCAGTGTCTAAAACATTCTCAGTGCTTCCATTTATTTCCTCTCTCAAATTTTAGGAATCTTCTTTAATTAACCCATCAATCCCTCATGGCAAGAATTTTAAAAAACAAATTAATATCAAGATTCTTATCTTCAATATGGAGTAAGCAGTTGCAGCTCAGTGCAACACGAAGTTCAGACAGGGATGGAGATGGCCCAGCCCCATCTCTGCTGGAACAGGAAAGTTGATCAAGAGAGAGAACACAGATCAGTGTAGGAAGGAGGTGGTGGGGGAGACCAGTCTCCGCACCTCCTTACATTATTCTAATAGGAACACAGACACACTCAGGCACCCTTCACAGAAGGAAGAGGCAGAGGTTCTTGAAGTCACAATGGGGGTGGGACAGGAACAAATCTTGCATCACTCAGTCCCCCACAAGGCAGTTGTCTCACGCTATAGAAGAAAATAATCACGGACAAATTTAAGTCAGTCACTATAACTGGTGACATTCTGAATAGCCCACCACATGCTCAAAACATCCCAGCCAAAGCATCCCCATACCCCTGTCCTGCTCCTCGTCACCAACCCCTCCCCACGTCAGACCCTCTGGAATCTCACCTGCAGTGAGAGACACATCAGAGCCCTGGGCACTGTCGCTGCCTGGGGTAGAACAAAACAGGACATGGTCAGAGCCCACAGGAAATGAGACTAAAGGAGGAACTATGGGGTGGGTGAGCTCCTCCATGGGCTCCGTCTACACTATCCCAAGGGTTTCAGGGATCAACACCCTCTCCATACTTACTTGCAGCCTGAGCATAGTTCCCTCCTTTTCCACCTGTGGGAAGAAAATATCCTGTGAGAAATCAGGGAAGAGGCAGAGCCATGAGGTCCTAAAGGAACCCTCTAGTCCTGGATTCAAGAGAAGTTTCCAGAACTGTGATTACAGACTCAAGACAGGATCAGGAAACATGAGGAAAGTACACATGTGGGGACTGGAACAACCACCCTCCCGGGGGTCTGTCCTCAGCAGTGACCTTCCCTTCTGTCCTGTAACTGTTGGGAATCAGGTCCCCATCACCAGACTCATCAAGGTGATAAATTTGTCCTTCATTTCCACATGCGCTTTACTAAAGAGTAAGTGTTAGCAAACAGGGCCCCAGGCGAGGAAAGCACATGTGCCTGTGGATGGGACTTCCCATTAACGAGGCAGGACAAACTTCTACCTGGGCTTGAAACTCCCCAATGGGACAAGAAAACTCTGACCACACTCCTTGCCTACCTGAGCCCTTCTTCCTCCAGATCACAGCTCCAGCCACCACAGCTCCAGTGACCACAAAGAGAACCAGGCCAGCAATGATGCCCACAATGAGGATGGTGGACACAGGAAGTGGTTCTGGGAAGGGAAGGGAAGGTGAAGGCCCTGACTCCTGGCCTCAGCTCCCACTCTGCTGAAGGTCTCCAAAAGGGCTCCTGCTTTTCCTGAGAAGAGGCATCCTCCCTCATCCCCCCCCTTACCCCATCTCAGGGTGATGGGCTCAGGCAGCCCCTCGTGCTGCACATGGCATGTATATCTCTGCTCCTCTCCAGAAGGCACCACCACAGCCTCCCACTTCTGGAATGTCCCGTCCCCTGCAGGCCTGGTCTCCACAAGCTCTATGTCCTAGGTCAGGTCCTCCCCATCACACTGCCAGGTCAGGGTGATCTCCGCAGGGTAGAAGCCCAGGGCCCAGCACCTCAGGGTGACCCCACGGTCAGAGATGGGATGGTGGGTCACGTGTGTCTTTGGGGGATCTGAGGATAAGGGTCAGAAAATTCAAGAACTTTACATCTGCCTTGGGCCGCTGAAGCAGCACTCATGTGACCATCCTGAGAACAGACAGGACAACTGGGTTGGGGGAAGAGGGGCACAAAACCCAGACACCAACCTAGGCACAGGCTTCTGGGATAATCTCTATTCTTTGGAAATTTCTAGAATGAAGGGGAGACAGCCCAGGGTAGGAGGCAGGTCTCTGAGGGGGAGAAAAGGGATTTCTGGTCCTGACTTGGGTGAAGGCCGAGTGACTCAGAAAAGCTGGAGTCAGACCTCAAATACATTGTGTGTGGGGCAGAGAACAAGGCCTCAGAGAGAGAGTCCCCCATGGTTCCCAGAGCCGCTGCCAGAGTCAAAGGGAATCGCTTGTCAGTCCTTTCAGGGATGCCTTCCCCCTCCATCCACGGAGACATTGCCTCCCTTAATCGACCCTGAGAAAAAGGCAGGTCCTCTGCACCATTTGCTTTGTGGTACCGGATCTGAAAGCCCAGGCGGACTCAATCTCCTGAGCCACGGGACGGGCAGATTCAGGTGTCATCCCATTTTCCCTCGTCTCCTTGTAGGAAGCCCCCAGCCCAAAGGGAGATTGGGGATGCCCCTCGTACCTGCGCGCTGCAGCGTCTCGTTCCCGTTCTCCAGGTATCTGCGGAGCCACTCCACGCACTCGCCCTCCAGGTAGGCCCTGCAGCGCTCCGCCTCACCGGCCGCCTCCCACTTGCGCCGGGTGATCTGAGCCGCCGTGTCCGCCGCGGTCCAGGAGCGCAGGTCCTCGTTCAGGGCGATGTAATCGGCGCCGTCGTAGGCGTCCTGCATGTACCCGCGGAGGAGGCGCCCGTCCGGCCCCACGTCGCAGCCGTACATCTTCTGGATGTTGAGACCCTGGCCCCGCCCCCTTGGTCAGCCCCGCCCACTCGGCTCCGCCCCCGCCCCGACCACCCGCAGTGATTAAACCTAAACTGAAAATGAAACCGTGCAAAAGTCTCCGCCGGCTCTTCCCGGGTCGGGGGTCGGGCGGGTCCCGCAGCCTCGGGGTGAGTCTCGGAGCCGGAGACTCGGGGAGACCCCGGCCCGTCCGTGGGGGTGGGGGTCATGACCTGGACCCGACCCGCGTCGCTCACCGGCCTCGCTCTGGTTGTGGTAGCCGCGCAGTTTGTTCAGGTCCACTCGGAAAACCTGTGCGGTGTCCTTGACCCCCCGCGTCTCCCGCTCCCAATACTGCGCCCCCTCCTGCTCCATCCACGGCGCCCGCGGCTCCGCCCTCGGACTCGCGGCGTCGCTGTCGAACCGCACGAACTGCGTGTCGTCCACGTAGCCGACGGCGATGAAGCGGGGCTCCCCGCGGCCGGGCCGGGACACGGCGGTGTAGAAATACCTCAGGGAGTGGGAGCCTGGGGGCGGGGAGGGGCTGAGACCCGGCCCGACCCTCCGCCCGGCGGATCCCCGGGTCCGAGGGTGATGGGGCCGGGAGGGGGCGAGGGGGTCGTGAGACGGAAAAGGGGGGCGGGAGACCCGAGTGGGTGAGAGGAGGGGGCGGGAGGCTGGGAGAGAAGACGAGGGGTCAGGCCGGGGCGGGACCGAGGTGGGGGGTCTGGGCAGGTGTCCGCGGAGACGCGCCTTCCCCGGGGGGTCCTGCGCCCCCGCCGCGCGGTCCCCTCGCCCCGCCCCCCGCAGAGGCCGTTTCCTCCCGACCCCGCGCTCACCCGCCCAGGTCTCGGTCAGGACCAGAGCCCCCGAGAGCAGCAGGAGGAAGGTTCGAGGCGCCGTGACCCTCATCCTCGGAGTCTGGGGAGAATCTGAGTTCCGGACGGTGGTAGAGACTTTATAACCGGGAACCTTGGAGACGCTGATTGGCGTCTCTAGAAACCGGACACGCAATGGGAGTGAGAACTGGGGCCGCGTCATGAGTCTCCAGGCGGGAGGACCTGACAGGTAGTGAGAGGGAGAAGTGAAACTCAGGGAGATGGGGGCTCCCCAACACTGAGCTTCCCCGCCCCAGACACCGCCCTCGGGCTGAGACCCTGAGAGCCACGTCCGGGGACCTGGGACTTTGCCCTGACGCCTCTCCTCCTGCACCGAGAGCTCTTTGTCACACTGTCTCCCTGAGTCCTGGCCCAGGGACTGTCTGAGGAAACCAGGGAGAGACCCTCAGATGGGCTCAGCCCCTTTTCTTCCTCTTACTGGAATCACTTTCCCTGAAATGGACTCCCCGCCTCCCATCCCTGACCTCTCCCCTCGGACTCTTCTAGAAGAGTCCAGGGAACTTGATGCCAGTGAGTGAGCTCACCGTGGGAATGGAGGTGGAGGGACAGGGGTTTTCTCTTTAAACCTGGAGAGGTTGTGCCTGAAAACACCAGATAGAGGTTCTCATAGGGACCGGGTTCCTTGGGTAACACAGTCTTGAAAACCCTGAACATCAGGAATCTACTCTATAAAAGAAGTGATTTTGGGGGGCCGGCCCGGTGGCGGGGCGGTAATAAGTGCGTGCGCTCTGCTGTGGCAGCCCAGGGTTCACAGGTTCAGATCCCCAAGCGGCGCGCAATGATGCACCGCTTGTTAAGCCATGCTGTGGCGGCCTGCCATATAAAGTAGAGGAAGATGGGCACGGATGTTAGCCCAGGGCTGATTTTCCTCACCAAAAAAAAAAAAAGAAGTGATTTTGGCCCCTTCATAAAAAAAAAAAAGTGCCTAACAGCACTGCAGTCAGACTCACAAAGCTCCTAAGTTTTACTTTTCCAGACAGTGTATCTGTGACTCCAGGGTTGTTGTATTTTAAAAATGAATAAATAAATGAAAAGCAATAGGATAAATTGGACTATATAAGGAAGCCATTTGGTTTAAAACTAATTCAGCCTGACCTCGTTTTTCCTAAAGGGCTTGACATGGCCTGTTGAGCATGCATTGTACATCTGCTTTAGACATTTACTATGTCCCAGAGACAAGAATGATGCCCTTAAAGATAGGAAAGTAGCTTCCCCCTCACATTGTCATTTCCTTAAGGATAAGCATCTCTTCCTGGAAACTAAGGATTAGTGACTGACCTACTGTACTTGCCTTGTGACCACTGACCTGCTGACCACCAACCTGCTGTGCCAGCTAAGCATTTTGTAACTATTGTAAAAGGGACATTCCTATCATATGTGAATTATGCTCTTTTTTCCAAGGCGGTATATAACCACTCTGTACACCCCACTTCTTTGGTGCCCTTCCTTCCTTGGGGAAGGAAGGCCCTGAGCTATAGTCAGCAAACATGCCTCTTAATAAACTCACCCCAATTTTTATTTATAGATTGATTATGGATTATTTGTGTTGACAAAATGATCTTCATTCCGTAGTCCTGAGTGTGTCTGTGTGAGTCCCTGACATATCTTACGTACCAAGAAGCACATGGAAGCACAGTTTGTTACTGTGTATAGATCACCTCAAAGTCTCAATTTTTCAATGCAGTCAAAATGCCCTTCTCCTGTGCTGATGTATTGCCTGTTTTTATGAATTATTCACACCTAACCAATGTGCATATTCTATTGAGACACTTATTATTTTTTAAAATCATTAAAATAAGGAGTCAGTTTTTAGGCAGCCTCACAGCATGAATTAAATACCAAACGCAAAGAATACCCTGCTAGGCTTGTAGATATATTTATTAAAGATTTATAAAACAATATGTATGTTTAAATCTGAGAATTCCACTGCTTTAGAATTCATTACCTCCTGCTTCTTTTCCTCACCTCTGCTCCTCCAGCCCTTCTCTCTGTCCCTCTCACACCCCAGGCCCTCTTCTCCCCTTAGTCTCCACCCTCTCATCCTGAATTGTGGCACCAGCACCACCCCCTCACCTGCCACTCATAGACTATTCTCACCACAGGGGTCAGTGATCCTGCTGAGGTGAGGCAGGATGTGTCACTTCTTCACTTAAAACACTCCAATGGCTCCATCTCACTCTTGCGAAGCCTCTAGAATGTAAGGCACATGAGCACAGGGGCTTTGGGCTATTTAGGTCAAAGTTGTATCCCCAGCATATAAAGCCATTCCTGGTACATAGTAGGCATAAAATTAGTTGTTGTTAAATGAATAAATGAAATATGATTTTTTTTAATTTAATTGCATTATATAAAATCATAAAATGAAAAACAAAAAAAGTTAGGAAAGATTTTATTTTGTGCAACTAGTGTGCATATCAGTTCATGAATTCATTCCAGTGGAAAAAATGTTGTGTGTTTATCTGTGGCACAGTGAGCCTGTGTATTAGTTTCTATTACTGCATAACAAATTACCATGACTTAGTGACTCAAAACAACACCCATTAATTTGCTTACAGTTCCTTAGTCAGAAATCCAGGCATGGTGTGGATGGGTTTTCTGTTCATGGTCGCACAAAGCTGGATTCTCATCTTGAGCTCAGGATCCTCCTCTAAGCTTACCGAGAGGTTGTTAGCAGAATCAAGATGCTTGTAGTTGTAGGACTGAGGACCCTCTTTCCTTGACAACTGTCAGCAAGGAGCCAGGGGAGGGCTGCTCCCAACACCTAGTAGCCACCAGCATCCTTTGCCATGTGGCCTACATTTTCAAAGCCCACAATGGAGAAAATCCCTCACGTTGAATCCCTCTCACACTTTGAATCTCTTTGCTCAGGAAGAACCCAGTCCTTAAAGGGCAGTCCAACCCAGGAGAATCCCCCTGTCTTAAGGTCAACTGATTTGAGACCTTAGTCTCAGACCTTAGACCTCTGCAAAATCCCTTCATAGCAACACCTACATTAGTGTTTGACTGAATAACTGGGGGCAAGGTGGGTAACCAGGGGGTGGTGGTTGTGGACCATTATAGAAACTGCCTAGCATGGCCTGGTTCTTCCTTTCTGTTTAATTGGGTCATGGTTAGAAATTGAATTTCAAATAAATAGATTGTTGTGAATGGTAATAAATACATCCTGTCTGTTAGCCATGGAAATTCTTCTTAAATCTTAAAACCAAATGACTTGTTTAATATCTTATACAGTAGACCTCCTATCTGTGGGGATACATTCCCAGACCCCCAGTGGATGCCTGAAACCATGGATGGTACTGAACCCTATATATACTGTGTTTTTTCCTATACATACTCTTGCACTTTGGGGCCATTATTAAGTAAAATAAGAGTTACTTGAACACAAGTACTGCGATACCAGGACAGTTGATCTGATAACCCAGATGGCTACTAAGTGACTAATAGACGGGTAGCGTATACAGTGTGGATACACTGGACAAAGGGATGATTCACCTCCCAGTGGGACAGAGTAGTATGGTACCAGATTTCATCATGCTACTGAGAACAGCTCTCAATTTAAATCTTATGAATTGTTTATTTCTGGGATTTTCCATTTAATATTTTCGGACCTCAGTTGACCACGGGTAACTGTAACTGCAGAAAGTGAAACCATGGATAAGAGAGGACTTCTGTAATTAATTTAGAGGAAACAAAAATTAAAGTGTAATAATTATCTCTTTCTTTGGACACTATGTTAGTTAAGGACCACAGCATAACAGATTACCCAAAATTTAGCATCTCAAAACAACAAAAGTGTATTATCTCCCAGAGTTTCCCAAGATCAGGAATCCAGGAGAGGTTTACCTGAGTGCTTCTGGCTCATAGCCTCTCTCAAGGTTGTAGTCCAGTTGTCACCCAGGGCTGCATCATCTGACGGCTTAACTGGGGCTGGAGGAGTCCTGTGAAACATGGCTCACTCATATGGCTGTTGGAAGAGGCCTCAGTTCCTTCAGGGTTGGTCCCAGGAGGCCTCAGTTCCTAGCCATGTGGACTTTTCCATAAGGCGGCTAATGACTAGGTAGCTGGCTTCTCCCAAAGCAAGTGATCCGAGAGAGAGCAACC